AGAATAATAATTATTAAAGTTCATATTTTATTGTTATTTACGCTATATAATAAAAAAAGTTAATTTCAGCTCATTTTATTTCTAAAATATAAACAAAGTGAAACCATTTGAATTCAATAAAAATACTCAAAAAAATAAAACAATTCAAGTTGAAATCCTTTTAGCTCATTCTATTTTTTTATTTCTAAATAAAAATATGAAAAAAAAGATTTAAAATAAATCCAATAACCATCTATTTTTTATCTAACACCCATTTATTTTTTATCCAACATCCATTTATTTGTTAACCAACACCCATCAATTTTTTATCCTACACGTTTCTATCTTATATTTAACCTTTTTATAATCGACTTTTTTATGTTTTTTTTTTAATATGAAATCTAAAATTTGTGTCTGTCATCAACAGAGTAAAGAAAATCATTGAAAGAAAGAAATTAAACTAAATAATGTAATGAATAAAAAAACATATCACCTTATTGATGGCAAAAAACTGAATAACAATCATAGAAACACCTGTTAATAAATACAATAAACCAATGTCTGATGTATTCATACTCAATCCATCTAAAAAATAATTTCAATAAATATATATATAAATTATATATATGTATATAAAAGTTACTTGTTTCATAATTTAACTATTTATAATAATTTCATTTTGGAATAATTGCTAGCATGACTCTGTTTTGATGATTAAACATGGAGTATTATTATTGTTGTATATATTAGTATTGCTATACCTGTATTGCAGTAGAATATAATATTTTTTTTACAATGCTCTCAAAACTCTATGAATCTGGACAGTCTAACTGCAGTAAGCTCAGAAAAAATAATACACAATAAATAATAATAAATAATAATAGTAACAAATAAATAAATTTGTTTTATTTTTATTCATTTGCCTACAAAAATAATAATAAAATGAATTGAACAAATAAAACAACAAGCTACAATAATACTATAAATCTCAGGTGTAGCAGCAAAAACTGGCAAAAGATCTTCATAACCAACTGCAGTCATTGAAAATATACCATACAGAATTACAGAGAGAAGAAAACTTCTTTGCCTGAAAATTATTTGTTACTATTAATTTTTATTAAAATATTAAATCAGATAATTCTATGTTTTTGATAATTTTTTGTAATAAACATACATCATTCTTTTATATTTTGAGTTTTTAAACCGGTTACAGCAGAATATGATATCTTTAAAATGCGATATCTTTTTCTTTTTTTTTTTTGAGTAATGACTCAAAAAATTGACTTTTCAGAAAACGATCTGAGGCTTCCGAAAAAAAAACGAAAACGATCTGAGGCTTCCGAAAAAAAAACGAAAAGGCTTCCTTATAATCCACACTATCATCTTTACTTTCTTTGTCATTATTTTCAGCACTTTTGTTATTCTCATGTGAAATTTGTTCTGTTTTAACATCCGAATTTCCCCTAACGACCAAAAATTAGGCAACATTAAGCAACAACGAAAAATATAAAAATTAAAACATAAGAAACTTGAAAATAAACAATAAATAAGATATGAATGCAAATGTTAGGATAATAATAGGAACAATGATAATAATAAAAACAATGATAAAATAATAAATAAAAATAAGAAGCAATTTTAAAAAAGTAGTTTGAAAATGATAATCAATTTTAAAAAAGTTATTTTTTTTAGATATAAAAATTTACTCACTTTTCTTTCTTTGGAAGTAGAAAAGATGTGATCAAAAGAGAAATAAACAACCCCATGGCAATAATAAAGTTTGAAAGAAAAACTTTACATTTGTCAAAAAATGGATCTAAAAGAAAACATATCTAGAAGTGACTAGCAGTAGAATATAAAGAAAGCAATAATATATTACCAACTACATTTGAAACACATATCAACAATATGAGAACAATCAAATCTAAATTTATTTTAAAAAATTTTATGGATGATACAATCCGGAAAGTTGATAAGGTATTAATAAATTTTATTGGATGAATTTAACAAAAAATTTAGTTTGTTTGAAGTTACAAAGTTACTTAGTATTAAAATAATATCCATATTATATTAAATAAATGTATATTGAAATAACATTCTTAATATTATTATATATTTTTAATATATATATATTTTATTTTTAATAAAATATATATATATATATATATATATATATATATATATATATATATATATATATATTATATATATATTATATATATTATATATATATATGTATATATAATATTATATATATATATATATATATATATATTATATATATATATATATATATATATATATATATATATTATATAATATATATATATATATTATTAATATAATGAATAGAGAAGAATAGATCTTTAAAAAAAAATTGAGAAAACTGTATATTTCATGTGAAAACTCTCTTATAGAAAATTCTCAACAAAGTAAAACAGGATTACATGCAACATGAATGGACTTATTGGTAAACAACCATATATGAGTTGGTAAACAACCATATATGAGTTTGTTAAAA